TTGAATAAAGCGCATATTATAGTATAAAGGCTATTTTTAAAAATTTTAAATAAATAAATGCAAAAGTGTATATCGAATGTATATCATAAATCATGAAGATGACAAGGGTCACTAAAAAAATAGGACATAAGTTGACAAGTGTTTAGGTATTAAAAACAAAGAAGAGAAAATGCAAAGACATTTGTCCTTTCTGATAGAAACTGCGTGCCATCACAAAAGTGACTTGAGGAAAATTTTTGGCTATAAATAGTCATTTTAGGCAAACCACGGAAAAAGGAAGGAAGAAGAAATAAAAGAGAGAGAGCGTTTGTAAGGCTTTGGGTTTAAAATTGAGTGGTGATTTTAGTCTCAAATTTTATGAAATTGGGATATGTTGTTTTTGATATAGTGGTGATCAAATTTATTGATTTCTCTTAGTTATTTGAGATAATATACAATATATTTGTCTTTCAATCTTTGTACAAAAGGTGTCCTTTTATTCTTTAGAATTTATATTCCTAATGATTTTTTGATGATATGAAATTTTGCAAGTTTTATTGAGATGGCCTATATATATATATTTTTTGGAAGGTAAAATGTATTAATATAAAACAGAAATACAAAAGGTAATCACTCATAAAATGTACAGTGAAGTCATGTAGGACTCAAAGACAAATATCAAAAATCCCAAAAACTCATGGCTCAAAACATAATTTTGTAAGAGATACCTTGAGTAAGAGTATCTCCCACAGAATTGTTGACAAGAATACATTGGTAAACAAAAACAGAGCATGAAACCAATTCATCCAACTCGAACAAACAACGTAAGCCATTTGCAGTAGCAAAAATCAGCACCAGCAGAACCCACCAAAGCAAACCAACAACCATGACGGCACAACATCAACAAACATCAAGCAATCACAAGAACAAGGGTTCATGTGATACCATAGCAGCCAAATGCAGTAGCAAATCAGCACCATCATTATCTTGATGCTCACTAACATAAAAAAACGTGTAATCTTTGATTAAAGTGCAAGGGCCATGCTATTTGCGGTCAAATTTTGGAAATAAAAAGATTACAGGTGAGCTTCGTGTTGGCCATGGTTCTTGTGGTCTGATGGTGGAAGACATAAAAACCTACAATTTCATGTCACTCCACGTTCCAACAAAAGTGCACCACACCAAAACTAGCCTGTAACTATCATGCAAACAGCTGTTGCCATAAGCATACTGCTTCCCAATGATGCTCCTCACAAGAATTCAGACACAAAGGAACAGGGGGCGACAACTCAGATCAGAGGACAGGAACAAGTACTGCTACACCAAAACTTGTCTGTAGCATACTTGCAATAACAACAACAATCGCCACAAGCATTCTGCAACCCAATGCCAAAGCAAGAAACCTGACACAAAGGAACAGAGAAGACAAAAGGCCACATGAACAGTGGACTGCTATACAAAAAGAATCATGTGTTAAGACAATGGGCTGGTAATTGCCACTACAGAGCCACTTGTTGATTCTGATAGGAATTTCTAAACTTCAAGGACATCATCCTTTCCCTGATGATTTGCAAAATGTTGTACAAAGTTGATTCAGGATCTTTAAATTCATTTCTAAACAACCTGTTGTTTCTTTCTCTCCATAGGCAGTACACAGTGGCTTGAAGGCACAATTTTTGCAACACTATAAAAATAGAACTGTTTTTCCAATGCTGAGCAGCCCAAGCAATAAACACCAACCAAGTCCTGGGTTGCCAAGATTGATTGAGCAAATTCTGTAGATGAAGCCAAACACTATGGGAATACGTGCACTCAAAAAATAGGTGGGCATGTGTTTCAGCAGCCCCTCTGCACAAAATGCAGATCGTACTCATGCTGGGATTAAAGATCTTATCCTTAGTGCTGAGCCTATATATATTAGGTTAAATACTTTGGGGTTAACTGGTATATGTAAAAAAAAATTGGTATATGTACAAATTGTGCTTGTGGCATATTTTGTGAGATGTGATTATGACCCTATAGGATGTCATTATTCGATATGAATATAAATGAATTTATATGTTCAAGTGTCACTTATCGTGTTATCAAAATGAACCAATTATGAAGTTATATTTGTAGTGTAGCTACATGATTTGTCGAAAAAAAATTTCGGTAAATAAGAATTTCATTGATCAATAATTCATATTTTCAACAGATACTTACATGTAAATATCAAAATGGCAAAAGGGAGCAAACAAGTAAAGTGAAGTGGGATGACAAATTATCTAGGAAAATGCTATTCTTACCAAAATTTTCAAATCTTCCATCCCAAATGATGTGACATAATCTCCGTTATTGAATATTAATGAGATTTACTTATCTGAGGGTGAAAAACTATGTCACATCATTTTGGATAGAGATTTGATAAAAAAAATTTGGTAAACATAGTATTACGCAATTATCTATTCATATTCATATGAGACAGATAATCTACCATCCCCAAAAATACAATTATCTCCATCAATAAAACACAATCAATCCAAAGAAATAACAAGAGGACAAAAAACCTTTCAGCACCTTGGGATAGCAGCCAAGCAAGTAGAAAGCTTGACTGCCCATCCAGCTTTTAGCAGCAGCAACATCGGAACAGCCTATGTCAAGCATGAAGAGCGCATCATCGGAACACATCATCACCAAGAAAAAGACTAGAAAAGGACCGCCTCATCATGAGAGTCCCAAACAGCGTATGTCAAGCATGAAGAGATCATTTGCATCATCAAAATCCATCAAGTAAAACCATAGCATCAAAAGCTAGCCTTACCCAAGTCAATAACTTCTTAGGGGTTCAAAAATTATTTTTGGTAGGGACCATTGTCTCTACATCTATATATTTAATGAAGCTCTCCCAATACCTCTGCTCATGTGTAGTTTCTGCATTATGGCCTCCACAGTCTTCTTACAAACAATCTTAACATCCTTGTACGAGTTTCTGAAAATTGTTCGATTTCTTTCCACGCAAATGTTAAAAACCAGAGTAGACAACATCAATTTGCCAATCAAATTAATTAGCTTCTTACCTTCAGTTCCATCATTGCAATCCAATTTAATTCTTGATTCTGTTGTTCGTGATTGCCTATTGATTGAGTTATTTGTTATTTGATCATTCATATTTTATCCTTATTGTATACTTCCCACTTTAATATTTTTTAGGATGATTTGGAAAGAAAAAATCAGATCAAATATTTGAAGAATCGAAGATGGACAAATCTCGATATAGTTTATATTAAATTGAAATTGCAAGTTTTATTGGTCTTTGGAGAACAAATTGTAATTATAATTTTTACTGAGATAATTAGAGCTCTGACTTTATATTTGAAAGTATATTTTTGTTATATTATGTTCGATTAATTGAGTAATGATTCCAAAAAACTAGGTGTTACAGAAATGCTAATAGAGGCAACTTAATTGGTAGAATGTAGACAAAGATTCTTGTACGATCATGCATGAAAATTCTAAAATTGTACATTGGTAACATTTAATATACCAAATCTAATGTTTGATAGGGTCAACAGTCGATCTAAATGTTATAGTAAATTAGACCAACAAATTAGGTGTTAATTTAGTTGCTATGGACTGCAGAGAATGGAAAGTCAAATAAATTTGCTAAATGCCAAGCAACTACTAAACAAATTGAAAAAAAGGTATATATGGCAACAAACTAGCAGTCAATTGTTATTGAATATTCGACTATCAAAATTACAAAACAAGCATATATGGCATAAGCAGTATCATCATCGGGAAGTATAATATACAATTATGATGAAAGATTTCAATGAATAACTCTTGAGATTTCAGAATCCGTCTTTGTTAAACTCATGATGGGACTATAATCTGTGGTTGCTATGCACTTGGAGATACTTGGGTTAAATTGTCATCTTTCTTTCTTCTTGGCCCAGAGAAAAGTTCCATAACCTTGTCCTGTTCTGACCCATTAATGATCCATTCTTCTTCAAATATGAAGCTTGAATCATCTGACCAATAATCACTCTCACTGTCATCACTTTCAGACATCAATACCAATATGAGAGATTGAGGATATCCTCAATCTCTAAATCTTTTCTCCCATCCCACAAAGACTTCCCAATTAGCATCTCAACCACCAGACAACCAAGAGCCCAAATATCACTTGGGGGCTCTTGTTTTCCATCAAACACTGCTTCTGATGACAAATATTTTATATTTTCTATCAGATATGGATTGAATCTCCTCTTATTCAAACTCATATCCTTCTTTGCCGATCCATAATAACCAATCTTTATCATATACTTAACACTATTTGGAGCACTAACAATGGAAAAAAATATGATATTTTCAGACTTTAAATCTCTTAGAACATAGCCATATCTTGTTGGAAAATAAACTTATTTAGTGTTTTATTATATTATTAAGGTGTTTTAATTTGAGTAATGGGCAAGAAATATGCAAGTAGTGGAAGATAAGAGCATTAGTGGGTGTTAATTCCCTAAAATGGTGTCTTAATATTATAGAGCTTACAAGAGTTAGTGGGTGTAATAGTACCAACATATATTGGTATGAGTTGTATGTATAACCTATATAAATAGGGTATATAGTCTAATGTTAGATGCAAGTAGAGTTGAGTAGAAATTGAAGAGTCCAAATTGAGTGTGTGATTGTAATCAACTTGTATGAAAATTATTTTTTCTTTGAGTGTTCATATCCTCTTCTACTTCCTTTCATTTCATTTCTGGTCCTCTTGACTACAATAAGGTGTTATCAGAGCAATTTTCTTGTTGTATTAATTCCAACAAATTGATATCAGAGCCAACACCGATCCTGGAAGATAACTCTCATTCAGAGTCAACTTTCGATCTTGAAAGTTAGATAACTCTCCATAAAAGCCAAGTTTATGATCATGGAAATCTAGATAGCTCACTTTTAGAGCTATTACGATCTTTGAAGTCTTGATAGATCGTCGTGATTGATTATCATGGAAGATTCCCCAAATATATATTTTTGGTGTGAAAAGATGATGTTCTTTAATTACAAGAGAATGAAAGTATTCTACCTTCGTATCTCAAAGCATGTGATTTATGGAGTGTGATTGAAGAAAAGTCAAGGAATGACTTGCCTAGATGAATCCGAGAAAAGAAAGAGGAGAAGGCACTCGAAGTTCTTAAGAATACGATTCACCCCGAGATTTGAAAACTTGTAAGAGATTCAAGTTCTCTAAATCATGTTTGGAAGATGATAGAGTGTGTAGGATCCAAACACAAAAGTGACTTTTTACATGAAGAGTATTGGGTACAATGAGTATGTAAAAGAAGAAAATGATTTTGAAGATAAACTAAGTTTAAGGGGTGGGGGGAGGGGGTTGGAAAATAAACTTGTTTAGTGTCTTATTATATTATTAAGGTGTTTTAATTTGGTGTGTAGTAATGGGCAAGAACTATTCAAGCAGTGGAAGACAAGAGTATTAGTGAGTGTTAATTCCCTAAGTAATGGTGTCTTAATATTATAGAGGTTATAAGAGTTAGTGGGTGTAATGGTACCTACATATAATGGTATGAGTTGTATGTATAATCTATATAAATAGGATATATAGTCTAGTATTAGATGCAAGTAGAGTTGAGTATAAATTGAAGAATCCAAGTTGAGTGTGTGATTGTAATCAACTTATATAAAAATTATTTTTTCTTTGAGTGTTCATATCCTCCTTTACTTCCTTCCATTTCATTTCTAGTCAAGGCCGGCCCTAGGCCTAGACCACTTAATTGGATGCCTAGGGCCTCCAATTTTTGCAAAATTTTGGGGTCCCCTGTTAAGACTTTTAGTTATGGGTATATATATTTTAGATGAGCTGGTTTGAGAGGGTCCAAATTTAATTGATAAGTCCATTAACACCTCAACAACTTACTTATAAAATTGCTCCACTTGCCAGTTGTAGCAGACTGTTAGAATTCTACAACAAGGAAGGATAATCTCTCTCCCTCTCTCTCTCTCTCTCTCTCGTCCATGAAGGAATTAAGCAAATCTCTCTACATCACTCTACCTCTCATGCACAAATTATAGGATTCACTTTCTCACAAACCATAGTTCTATTTAACGCCATTCCCTCATGCCTCTCTCTCTCTCTCTCTCTCTCTCTCTCTCTCTCTGTGTGAAGTTTGAATCTGAACAAAGTAAAAACACCAAAGTTCTCTATTCTATAATTTCTTGTAGTTCAACAAACCATCAATTAATTGATAGCGATCAAGATTCAAGCGTCAGAATTTTTTGGGCTAAAAAAATAACTTTTAAATGAATATATTTTAATAACTAGTTGGTACACACGTGTGTTACACATGAATCATTTTGAATATAAAGATTATCAATATAAGTGTTATTTAATCATATTAGCAATCCACCACGTGCGTTGTACGTGAATAATTTTCGTATATAAAAATTGATATAATATATTAGTATATATGTATTTGAATTAAATATTATCTCAAATTTATTAAACTTAATTTTTCATTACTCATATTCTATTATAGGATTATGAAAACTTGGTATATTTCTGAAATTCGTTATTCTAATTATAAAAAAAAATAGTTAAAGTTCTATTTTTTGTTTTTAAAATTTTGTGATTGAAAGTGATTTTTTTAGTAATGTTTGAAAAATTAAATTTTTGGAAATTCATTCGATTAGGATTTTACTTATAATTCATTGAATAAAATAAAAGTAATTGTCAATATAGTACTTAATTATATTGAAAATTTACTGTAATTAAGAATTAGTTAGGTAAATTAAGATAAGATTTAATATAACACTCTATAATATATATTTTAAAACATATCAAAATTTTAAAAAAATGTAAGTTTTACTGAAGAATACACTATAAACTATTTTCACATAAAATATTAATACAACATAAAAAAGTTTATTGTAAACTAAAAAATTATATTGATATAGCATAAATTAATTTTAAAAAATTATATATATATATAATTATTTTTTATCTTAGAAATAAAAAGGTTAAACTTTTTTAAAAAAATAACATATATGCAGATAATATTATATTTGCACATGGGATGAGTAATATTAGATTGATGAAA